CGTACAAAATGGCACCAGCGTTTAATTGGTGAACTCGTTGCTAATGCTTCGAGTGGCGAGTGTTGGAATCGTTCCGTTCGTAGGTTGTCTCAGGAGAGGACGAGTGGGTGTAGCCATGCCGATTAACATGCCTTCGATTTTTGCCTACTCGGCACGTGTCCTGCGATGATTATCGACCGCAAAATTTAAATCAGTCTCGCGTTGGGCATGCAGTTTCCCAAGCACATCTTTCAGGATTGCAATTACATATTTTATACTTGCAAACTTAAGGGTACTTGAGGGCTAAAATTAGTTCATTGACTGGAGGTTATTTGCATGCACATCTCTATCCTTTGTTATCCAGCCAATTTTCAAAAAAAAATAGTTTTTTCGTGAATCCGTTGTTCACAGCGAATTAAGCTTTTTTAAATGTTAAGTTTCAGTATTCACAACTTGTGGCTTCGTTCAGTGGGCATGAATAAGACGTTGGGTTCTGTTTGGCTCTTTTCAAAATACGAACGACTGCTGGATGTAATTATCTGCGAATGGCATGAGGGATCTCGAAACGTCACGCGAATAAAAGTATTGTCCCAGGGATCGAGTCGTCTTCTTAGCAATTGTATGATTCTTAGCTTCACTTACTTACTTCACAATTCACTCACAATGGCGTTCAGTTTTTCTGTGTCTAACATCCTTTCCAAAGAAGAAAAATAAATTGACAAGTAACGATATTTGAAACATTTGACGTTGGATTTTTGGGCATGCAACTTAAGTTTGGAGTCGAGAGTGCAGCCAGCGTCTCAGGACATTTCGTTCGCTCATACGCGACATGAATTCCTTGAATTATGTACGAAGTTAGCAGGGCATTTATCTGAAAACAGTCTTTCAGTCTCATTGAGAATTTTGAGCTTGTAAGCAAAAGTGTTGTCGAACACTGTCAGAAGGTGCCAACATTCTAAAATATGTTAACTTCGCCATCCTATTAGACTGCACCCAAATAAAGTCACAATTTTGAACTATTTAATCGTATTTCGTTACAATTTGAAAGTGGTTAATCGTATAAATAAAGATCAATTTGGCCTAATTTTGGTAACACCTGATGTATGAACCGGTGGGCAATGTTCATGCATTATAGGAAGTAAATTTGACAGTTTGATGTCGCATTCATTATGTAATATCTGCAGTGATGACTGATACAGTTACATTCCTTTGTCTGTCTTTCTTCAAAAACGAAGGCAAGTCGGTCGAAAGTCAGTACTATATGAAGGAGCGAATCAAATCCTGGAAACCAGAGGTGCTTATTTCCAAGGGACTGGGCCCATTTTCCACTGATTTCAAAATTTCCTTTTTATCCATAAGAACAAGTCCTTCTCAAATGAATCCCAATTTATAATCCACTTAAGGATGAGTAGGTAGATGAGTAGCTAGATGAGCAACTTCATTTTCCCGTCATATTTCTTCACCTTGATGTAAAGTGCCCAGTTCCATTGAGATTCATAGCATTTAAATGTAGTGGAGATGAAACCGATCTTCCACTAGTTTTCAGTACTTGTCCTTTTCAAAATGGCCTTTCATTCCTCTCAACTTAAACAGACTGGTTTTTATCATGTAGACCCTGTCTGCCAGACGCTTTTTAAATCACAATTATGGATTTAGGGCTGTGGTGACTTATTGATGTCTGTTTGTCTCGCCAATCGATCACGCGGCTTCGTTTTTAACACAATCTCAGAACTGCCGGCCATGATCAGGACTGTTTTTTGAAGGAGCCGAAGTTCCCATTGGGCAAAAACATTTGCCAGGCCTCATTAATAATGAAAGTATGAGAAACAAACGTCTTACCAGCGTCTTTTACAATTCACGTCTGCTGGACTGCAAACCTGCGTCACTAGTTGGACTGAGTGCGAGTGAACCTTACGGCTAAGACGTCGGACAGCTGGACCAGGAAATTAGCTTCGCAACCAAGATCAGACAAAACCACTTAGCCATGCAAACGGGTACGATCAGGTTCGTGTTTTGACGCAGACTGCTGTCCGACAGAACCGAATAAGTTTACCAAACAGTTGAAGCCTTGAATGCGGGAAGATCTAAACACTGGACTGAAACTCAAGGAAGCCACAAATGGAAAATTTACAGGTGAGGTGGAGAACATCAACGATCGGAAGTCCACTACAGTTTAAAGTATTAAGGATAACCTCGGAAACAAAGGATGTGCGCCTTCTAAAATAGACCCGATATGGGAGGTTTGTCTTGACATTGAAGCTAAATGTGTCATACATTTTCGGGCTCAAAACATGCTCTAAAGTTTTGGTTTAACGTAGTTAGGGTACGTTCAGATGCTAAAGCAGAGGATCATTGCTAACATCAGAAACGTAAGTTTGGCTTTTTCTTATGACAATGTAAACAAACCTCGCCTACTGATAGGATAAAGTTGCTGCAGATGCTATTTTAGGGGATTGCTGTGATTTCTGGAACAAGAAGTTTATTTGCTTGACGTTTCGGATTCTTGCTTGAACACATCATCAAAAAAACAACAGAAAAAGGGGATAGGGACTCAGGTAAAGCTGTGCGTAGAGGCCATGCGACCACGTGTGTACTAAAATTAGCAGCTCTTGTGATTGTCGCTTGGGCGTCGTAATTGATGCGATGATGGCTTGGCAGTCCGCGTTAGAGTTAGTAATTGCCGCGAGTTCATCCTCCGTATTGGATTTTGGCGTGTTCGCTGTCATCAAAATTGTTGATGGCCCGTGCCCCCCTCACGTGACTCATTCCCCTTTTCAGGCAAAGTCTCAGTACGAAACATGGGAACGGGAATTCAGTGCGCTTGTTGGTTGACAGCGGGCCTGATGGCCATGACTCGAGCAGTTCGCGGTTCGCGTGGTTGTCACCCCTTGTGAGGATTTTGGCC